GCTCGATGTCCATGGAGATACACGAAAGAAAAAAAGGAACACATGTGTGGCAGTATATTAAATATTTTTTAAAATACAGAATGCTAATTTATATTCGAAATATCGTTCCCACCCTAACGCTTGTTAACGAAATTTCACTTGTTTTGCATAATTATAAAGAAGTATATATGTATACGAACCAATAAAGTCTTCGTGTTTAATTTCAGTGGGAGAAGCCATGCATTGATCCGTAGTAACTTTCTTTTCGTTTTTGGTGTGTACAATGGTTAGGGAAGAACACGAAACGTGTGTGCTCGCTATTTCGTCCACCGTATGAGTCGAGCAAAATAATTGAAGTTGGAAGATAAAGCCAAAAGATGAAAGAAAGAATGACACACTAAAAGCGTGTGACGTGACTCACATGCGACATCATTAGTCGAAAATTTGACAAATCCTTCATTTGTATTAACTTCACAAAAATTCTTATTCTCTCTTTCACAATCCATTCGGTGAACGTATTATATATTAACGGTCGATATTTCTGCTTCTGAAAAATAATAGTCAACAAGCGTGGGTTGATCGAAGCAGCCATGGGGCAGAACAAGTGCCACAATCACTCAGGATCAAAGTAAAATGCCGACCATCTTTTTGTTTCTTGAGCTTACCTCCAATCGGTCAGATTGACTGGACAGTAACCAAAAATAATATATATATATTGGCGTGAACAGCTGCCCTGGTGTTTCAAGATTTATTTGCTTATCTAGCTTCAACCTGTCATCAGAAAAACATGACTTTTTTACTAATTGTAGCCATATATAATGCAACTGACCTTTTACTGTTTGAGATCTATATGCTACTAGGAGCAATAGTTGTAAAGTGTGTCTTTATAATCATTGTGTTAAACGTACTTTACATCTCATTCATTAACATCTCGCTCTCGGTATATATACCGTGCACGATAGCATTTATCCATTCTACTGTATTTTTATGTTTCAATTACATCGTCCTCGTTCTGACTGTAACTTTTTTTTCTCGCTTTCATTCGTTCTTCCTTTTTTTTGTACATACTTTAACTCGATAACAAACATTTACTATCCTTATAACATGCTCTCTTCTCAAATTCAATGGGATTGTGTTTAATGTCGATCTGACGTGACTGAATGTCTGAAACATTGTACCTATTGTCATTCGATGTTAATTTGGACATGTATTGCTCGAAAAAATCTGGTTTGTACATGCATAACGAGAACGAAGTTGTTATTCAACAACAATTTGAAGCTTTAGATGATAGTAAATAACATTCATGTTCACATTTTCCACGTAAAGCTCTCATTCCATTATTTTGTCCTACAAGAATAGCCCAAAACTATAAACACTAATATACCTTTTTGTTTATTTATTGTAGAATAACGTTCGTGGTCAGAATCGAGACGCACTGATGCATCTTGCGTACAACATACTGGACATGACGTCGAACAATTGGAATAATTGTATTCTATACGTAAACAAATACTTATAAAGTAGTGTTCCCATAGGAACGAGCAACATATGAATAGTACCATCATACCATATTTATCTCCGATAAATTTGCTGATGGTTACATTATGGTACTTAAAACATCATTCTGAACGTGATATTGTTGCCGCATTGAATTTGAGTCAATCAACAGTGAAATATTTCTTATCAATGGGAGTATACATAATATTACAATTCTAAGAGAAACAGGACTATTAGAACATGTAGAAGAATCTGTGAAAATTATTGCTGACAAAGGATATGTTGGTGAAGAATACTTAGTCACTCCAAGAAAAAAACCTCATGGCCGTGAATTAACAGATGAAGACAAGAAGTTCAATTGTGATATTAAGAGTGCAAGAGCTGCTTTTAAAAATATTAATTAATGTCTCAAAACTTATGCTATTTTGTATAATGTTTACATAAGAGCTATTGATGATTTTCATAAGATGGCTAAAATTACACCAGTTGTTTGTGTTCTATTTAATATGAACTTGAATAAGCATCCTAGTCGTAAATAAACAGCATGATACATTGTATTTTCTGATGAACTACTTGATAATAAAACTTTGTTACCGATATTTCAAGTTATTTCAAATTTCTTAGTAAGGACTGTTGTATTTGAACAAATTAGGTGTGAAGTATGTTTAACACAATGATTATTAAGACACACTTTACAACTCTTGCTCCTAGTAATATGTGGATCGTAAGCAGTAAAAGTCAATGGCATTATATATGGGTTACAACTAGTAAAAAAGTCACATTTTTCGGATGACGGATGAAGCTGCATAAACTAATACATCTTGGGATACAAGAATGGCTGTTCACCTTTATATATATTGGACGTTACTTGCGCTGATGTAGATGCACGATCTTTATTTTTGAAGAAACAAAAACAAACAAATAAAACATATAATTTGTATGAACAGAACGACAAGAGACACCAATACAGATCAAAAGAGAATGAAAGAACATAGAGAATAATATAGAAGAATGATTATATCAACATGTGATATCATCGTAACATACTCCTCTGTTGAACAAGAAAAATGTGCACTATCAACATTTTTGTAAAAAGGTAAATGAAGGATCAGGAGAAAATAATGAATAATATAGAAAAAAAAACACACTATAATAGTAGAAATTCGTTTTAAAAGAAACGTTCACATCTAAGAAAAAAAAACATACGTCTTTAACGACGCAAACATGTAACAAAAGTATCGAGTATATTTAACGGTAATATGTCGAGTATTAAACAAACAAAAGCCATAGAAGTAACGGGAGTAATAAAAATCCAACTTCATAATGATAGATGCATCTAAACGTAAATAGACAAATAAATGTTATAGATTAGTTTTTGTTCATAATTTAGTCAATTCAAATAACATAATAATATTAAATGTGGACGCTTTTTTATGAAACGAAAAGTAATATATAATTCATAAAATTTTCATATGCGAGTATATTACGAATTAATGTTTCTCTCTCGACTTTCACCGGCCAGGTAAGAAAATCTGTCAAGAATAATCTTCAATTTGATTCTATTTACTCATGAATTAAACGGATATCTTTATTAGAGAGGTTGTGAAATTAATAAATTTGTTCAAATATTGACAGTAACACGTCTGCTGTAACTTGACGATATAATGTTAGTTTCTTGATGTGTTGAACAAAACATGTTTTTAGTGCTAGCTTTTGAATGATTCTAAAAGGACCTTCATAATGAAAATCGAATTTATAACGGATGTTGAGTTTTTTTACCAGTACCAAGTCACCAATGTGGTATGTTGGATCAGAAAAATGTATATTATAATATTGTTTATATCGCGTATGGGTGTGTGTTTTCTCTTCAATGACACCCACACCCATCCCGAATTGTCCTGCGACGAATTGTCCAGTCACCAACGAAATTAAAGCATATGAATAGAAAAAACAAAAATACTTTAGAATTATTCGAATATTACATAAGTTTATAATAGGATTTAAAAAAGAGTCATTTTATAGTGTTTGTCGTATTGAAAAAAACTATCAAAGTACAGATGTGTCGGATCAAGTTTTTTAGGTCTGGTTTTGGTCTTGACTTACATAATTTCCTAAATATTATGCAAAAATTTAGAAGTGGGTTCGTACAATTTTTTTATATTGGACATCTGTTAATAGTCTCCTACATCTCAAATTGTAATTGATAATCATGGAGAATTTCTGACTTGTTTGTTTACTGTTTGATGTATAAGAATAAATGAAATTTTTGTGGTGACAGGAGTGAACAACTTTCAGAATACCCATCAGCGTAATTAATATTCTCAATTCGGCATCATTCTTTACCAAGACCGGAACATCTTTGACTTAGTCTTTCATCCAGATTTCTTCGTTCAAAAGGGCAAACAAATACATTTTTGTAGTACAAACCCATCATAAATGATACAGTAACCGTATATTTCTAGAGACATCTCCCTAGCTCTAGATAAACCATTGTTGATGGATCCAACTTAACGGGTTATCCATAAGAATTAAGGATCTCCATATTTTCTCTAGTTTTCATAGATTCGAATTAAACTTTTTCTAAAAGATTCAGTATTTTCTCAATATCTCTCTTTCAATTGTGATAGTTTTGGATAAAACTTATATTAACACATTGAACACGATTCGGTCCAATAGGTGAACGGTGCAGTCCATCAATGGACCACATCCCCGCCAATATGTTATCAACTTTCTGATCTCATCATTGAGTAGTCCTTAGTTCATTGTCTATCTCCTGTAAAAATCAGCTTATTACACTCATGTTCTGAATTCTAACAAAATTTTCTCATCAAAATTACCCGTTTTTTCGTGTTAAAAAGATGTGCATTTCTACTTATCCTTTCCATTATCTCAACTCTATTGTTACATGAATTCTTTTTAAAAATATACCATTCGATAGAAAAAAGAACGCGCTACACAACAGTGTAGTTTTTATTGAAAACACATCTTGAAAAAGGTCTGAATTTCAACAAGTATTCATGTCCTGGTGCAGATCTTCAATAAGTCTTGTTTTTCTCCACCATAATAGGATCAAAATTAGCTTTCAAATATATCATCGGAAAGAGCGTTACAAACTACGCAAGATAGACTATTTGAATGATTTTTATAAAGATGTGACACATTGGAGGCGATTTGACCACGACGATTGACCACACTGAGACCCACCGGTGGGTCCCATCGTGGTGAATGTGTTAAAAAGATTCAGCGTTCAATGCCCTACAAAGATATTTACAAATGTACTGTGGAGGCCAAATGAAATCCTCCCGACCGTATTTCTATCTTTTTGTTACTATAATATTTCCATTTTTTAATCCACTATATATAGAAAGAAAGCTCGAAACGCGCTGCATCTTTTGGTTTATTTCGATTGAATATCAAATATTGTTCAATATATGAAAAACATATCAGAAGAAAAAGTAAGGTTTTTTTTACTACAATATATATCGATATCTAGATTATAATCAAAAAAAGCTTTAAAAACATCATTAAGGTCTATCGTAATATTCATCAGTTCCATATATTAAGCCACATTTTCGACAAGCATTTTTAATTTCTTTCTTCGATAACGAATGAAAAGCTTCTGAAAGCAATAATGGTATATCAGCTGCAGCTAATGGATGTTGATTTCGAATAGACTCTCGAAATGAATGCCACAGTGGATTGTCCAATGGTGAAAGATATTTTGCGGATGCTGTTGGCATGTGGAGTATTTGCTTCACTGAATTACATTTTCCAGCCCGT